GAACCAGCAAGGTAACCAGCAATATCCTCACTAAGTCCCTTGCGGAACTTAGCTGCCAGAAATGTAGGAGTAGGCCTCACCATCCTGAAGTGTGCAAACTTCACCAACTGGTTGAACTTGGCCAGGTACTCGTCCACAGACAACGAGCCCTGAACCAATCTGTCAAACTCTCCCTGCTGCCTCTCCTGAGCGTCATATGGAAAGTACTGACCCAAGAAGAAGTGCTCAAACATAGGCCAAGTCATCACATGACCCTGCATCTCGTAGACATGTGGTTTGTCCACCACTCATGGGCATCGCCCTCCAGCATATAAGTAGCGAACATCAACTTCTGCGGATCTGTGCACTGCATGACCCGAAAAATCTTGTCTAACGCCTGAAGCCAACGTGCCGCAGCAACAGGATCAAAGGATCCATCAAAGGCAGGTGGCTTATGCTTACGGAAAGCATTCAGCCGGCGATCGATCTCATCACGATCCTCAATAAAAACAGGGACGGTCTGCATGGCCCTCGTAAGATGACTGCCATCTCCCATCTGACTCTGAGAGTCATCCTGCAGACTGGGTGGAGGTGGTGGTGGTGGTGGCGGTGGAGGGGGTGGCAGTGGAGCATGACCAACATCAGGGCCATTCCTCATCTCCTCCAACATGACTCTAAACATCGTCATGTTTGCCAGACGGTTGGCCTCCAACACGTCCTCAGTGGCCTTCCTGTTCGCCTCTCTGACGGCGTCCAGCATGGCCTGGTTTGCCTTTCTCTTGGCCTCCTGGTCGGCTAGTCGGGCCGCCTGCATCTCAGCTAATGCAGCCAGGACAGGATCGGGCCGATCCTCCGAAGTCTCGCGGTTTCTCCCGGGTCTTACCATGATTCTGCACAAGTTACACAAATTATGAGTTGATCGGGCCCACGCAATATGGTCACATATGCATTATCATAATAATACTCGACGGAGCAAACACACAAAACAGACACAACCAAACATCCTAATCATTGCAATACATACAGGCTTTTCCCTAGAACCGTTGCTCTGATACCATAAAATGTAACACCCCGTGTATACTCGGAATATTAACATTACATCGTATTAAGCTGTGCTTAATTAAAAATGCGGAATATTCTTTTTCTTTTCAATTATGACGTCATTATCAATTACCAACTTGATTACTTAATCAATTTCATAAAATATCGCCTGTATGTAAATTGCAATAAGACATCTACTGAAATACCTCAATATATAGATAAAGTGTGTATCTAAATCACGGCATTACATCAAGTAATCCGGACAATATCCTGATACATTATTACAACTCCAAAAGACTCAAGACATAATCAAGACATAATAATACTATGTGTCATGGACAATCCCCATGCTCACCAAATAAACATAGTAAACAACAAGTCTCAACATAAAACTCCAAAACATAAACTGAAGCTATAAGCATAAAAGCAGCATGCAAATCCAGCATCCAATCAAGGCATCATAATATAACAGCAATCTAACTCAGCTCCGGCCTCCTGCCGCCTGAGGTCTCAACATTACCTGACCCGGAAATAAGCATTCCCCAAACGTGGGGTGAGATCTCTAAACTAGAAATCTCAGTAAGACAAGGGGTCCTCAAGGATCTTCCACCCCAAGCTCACTTACATGTGCAATATAAGTTCAAAAATCATTTATATCATTATCAGTTCCAAAACTATGTAGTGCAACAGATATCTATGGCATGTGTGTAATCACTATCTACTGGCCAGAGAAATGTAGGAATACGTCTATTCCCTACATGTAGTACAAGGAACACCGCTTGCACCTCACCCACAGCCTCACCCTCTTGTATGTTCTACATACTCAGGCTTACCGTATAGGTGGAACACCTCCATGCATATCAACAAGGCACTAACATACAATAGCTCAACAACATTTCCAAATCATCAAAAACATGTAACACAGCATGCATATACCATACCCCCATGTGACATGGTGGAACCACAACATGGCTAAACCGAGGACACGAAAGCTTACCTCTAAGCTAGCTATCCAATGCCACATGCTCAAAGTCCAATAACAGCAGATCACAATCTGATATGGACCAAATATAAATCAATAACATGTACCACATGCATACAAATTAAAGGCAACACCTTTTCATTATGTTTTCAAGTCTTAAAGCTTCTAACAAAGCCACAAGCCCTTAATCCCATGATTCTGGCTTAGACCAATACATACAGAAGTTCAACTTCATCAAACTAGGGTCCACAAACCCCCAATAGCCTACTGTACACACAGCACAGCTACTGTTCTGCGAAAACCCAGAATACCCGGATATTCCTCTGGACCATATCCGGATATGCAATATCCGGATATCTCACTGTCCATATCCGCATATGCAATATCCGGATATACAAATTCTCATATCCAGATATCCAGTATCCGAATATCCCAAAATCACATATCCGGATATCCAATATCCGGATATCTGTTCGACAAATATCCGGATATTTAACGACAGAAAGCAGTTTCTGCATTTTCGTGAAGATATTCCTTAAAGGTTCCCTTTTTACCGATTTTAAACACCTACTCATGCATTTCTAGGCGTGTTCAACACTACCCAACAACAAGTTATCATCTTTTAACCTTAACATGCATCAAGCTTCCATTTTTAAGCCTTAAAACTCAAGTTAAAGGTTGGTACACATACCCCAGCTCAAAATAGAAGGAAAGGTTGCCCTTTGGAGCTCACAATCAGTCTCAAGCTACTGTCACAAGAGGATGCACGAAAATGGTAAGAAAGGTTGACCCTTTAGCACAAAAGATCAACACTTGGACCACCAAAACCAAGACAAGGCTTCTCTCAACCCGAAACCAACAAGCCAGCAACCAAACCTCCCTCACACTGACTTCACAACACAGAAACAAGACCACCAACACACTCCCAATGATGATCCTCACTCACACAAAGTGTTTAGGAGAAGAGTTTGTGAAGGAAATGGCCACAAGCTCAAGAAATGATGAAGGGAAGACAATGGAACAATAGCCAACACTCAGCCACCAAGTGAGTAACGTAGGGAATTCTGGTCCTAGGGTTTTGTGCCCATAATGGGAGTATTTAAAGCCCAAACACACTTAAACACACAGTATTAACTTTAATTGCTACGCTTAGAATTTTAATCCCAAACTTTGGATTATCAAACTACATAATTTTATAAGAATTAACATATTTTTCTTATATTTTTCTGAGCAACTTTCCGGTACGCGCTTTTCAAAGCCAGTACCGGTTTCTAGCACCAGTTCTCATTATTTGGACTTGAAACTCGTTTTACAAGTCCTACATATTATTCTAGTAATTATCATGCACTTAATTTAATTTTCCGGGATACTTTTTCGGTACGCATTTATACCGACTAGCAGAACCGGTATCTGCACTTTTCTTCCGAAAAGCGACTTTTAGCATTCTTAATCACTTATTATGATTATTAAGCCTCATAAATAATTATTAGGGTCAATTATGGAATCATTTCCTATTTTTGCATAATTAATCAATTAAATACCTTAATTAATGGTGCGGGTTCTTACATTTTGCAATAATAACAAAAGACGAGAGGAATATTAAAATAAATCTGTATATTGAATTGATTCAGGGGAGTATAATATATAAAGAAATACTAATGAGCTTAGCCCAAACCTAACCTAAATCCTAATGAAATAAGGAAATAGATCTTTACAAATAATAAAGATATCCTAAAGATATTCTTTCCAATATTCCCCCTCAAGCTAGAGTGTATATAGATCATAAGCAACAAGCGTGAATAAGAAAACTAAAAAACATAACATCAAAATAAACGAGCGGGGGTTGTAACAACTCTACAACTCATCCTAAAGAAAAATAACAAACATAATAAACTAAAATAAAATATTATCTATATCTCGAATACTCCCCCTCAAGATAGAGGGACACTTCATCTTAGGAAGAAAGAAAACTAAAACAATGCTTCACGGAATATAAGTTGGAGAAATCGACAGCAAATCAACTGGAATGACCATCAGTTTGAAGAACTGGTAAAGAGACGATTTTGGAATGGACATCAGCAGAGGAAGAAAAAGACATCAGCCAAGGAAGGGCTGGGAAAAAGACAATGTTGCAACTGGAATACAAGCCGAAGGAGCTAGTGTAACTGGAATAATCCCAATCCCCGGACCAGGAAACAACCGAGATAAATGCTCCCCCTGAATGGGAGGCCAAAATAAAGCTAAACAATGGAAAAATTAAATCAAATACAAACCAAATCGGACTTGAATAACACCACAAATATAAGTGAGAATAAAATAAAATTGGCCAAATACAAGCTATAAAAGAAAATTAATATAAAATAATAAATCAACGAAGAAGAGGAAAACATTGTCGGAAGAAACAAGATTCGGCTGGAGAAGAAAAGATGATATAGCCGCAGGAAAGATGACTTGATTTGGTTACTGTAAAGGCATGAATGAAATCTTACAACAAAATTTAGGTCTCAAACAGCACTAACATATCGACAATTATCAGTATAACGTGAACGATCGCTGGCAATTATCAGTATTTTAATTTAATCATGACAGTACGTATATGCTTTTTAAAATATGCATTGCTGATCTGATAACCTTTTCACGTTCAACAGTGGAACCTGCACATAGCATCTGATTTTTAATTTGGATGCATTAATAATCGTTAACCATTTTACTAATTATGTAAAACATTAATGACCAAGCTGGAAAAGAATATTCGCAAGGATACCCAAAAAAAATAAAAAAAAAGAATATTCGCATTGGTGAGTAACTTCTGCTAAAAACAAACTCGAGAGATTTAAAAAAAAAAAGAAAAAGAAAAAAGAGCCATAAGTTGTCCTAATTGGATGGCATACGATTATGATATTTCAAATTGAAGTTATATATATGGATTGGCTACTAAATAATAATGTGTATATATAGAGGTTACATTTGGGAGGAGATTGGATAAGCAAGCTAAGAGATGGTTGAGCCATGTATTCCCACAATAGACCTCACTCCTTTCCTAAAAGAAGATGAGGATGGGAAAAAGAAAGCCATGGACATAATCACCCAAGCCTGTTCTGAATATGGTTTCTTCCAAATTGTGAATCATGGGGTTTCCATAGATTTGATGAAGAGATCCATAGAGCTATCCAAGACATTTTTCGATTACCCACATGAAGAAAAGAGTAAGAGTAGTCCTTCCTCTAATGCACCACCTCTTCCCGCTGGCTACAATAGGGAGCCTATGCACTTAGCAGAAAGAAAAGAGTACTTGGTGGTTTGTCCTCCAGCATCATGCCTCAATGTCTATCCTGAAAACCCTCCCGAGTTCAAGTAAATTCAATCTCTTTTATTCATGATCAATTGTCCCTATGTTATACTAAATCTCAACCAACACATAATGACAAGTCAAACTGATTTTATTATTATTATTATTCTTATTCTGATTATTATTATTATTATTATTATTATTATTATTATTATTATTATTATTATTATTATTATTATCGTATCGGCTGTGTGCATGGAATCATTAAAAAATAACGAAATTGATGAATTGAGTCAATTCTCAAGATATCAACTCTTTTTTGTGAATATATCATAAGTTTTCATGTTCAAATCTTCATCGGAATTTTGATTTGAAAAGGGTATTAGTTGATATTATACTTCAATTACAAAAAATAACATTTAAATAATTCAAAATTAAAGTCGTGTACAAAATTTATCTTTAAATATTAATATTTTTTTCGCATACATTAGTCACTCGTTAAATATTCTAGAATTGTCATTGATTATATTTAAATGTATTAAATATATGGCAAATGTGATAGGGAAGTGCTTGAAGAAATGTTTGCGCAATTGAGCAAGACAGGTGTGCTTGTGGAGAACATTATAAATGAGTGTTTGGGCCTCCCTCACAATTTCCTCAATGAATTCAATCATGATAGGAGTGGGGATGTCCTGGTGGTCTTCCGTTATTTCCCAGCTTCTAAAAATGAGAATATTGGAATCACAGAACATGAAGATTCCACTTGCATTTCCTTTGTTTTCCAGGATGAAGTTGGAGGCCTACAAGTCCTTAAGAATGGAGAGTGGATCCCTATTGTTCCTGTAGAGGGCACCATTGTGGTCAATGTTGGCGATTGTATTCAGGTAATCACATGCTTTTACTGAAATGATGCTTGAATATTAGATTTTATTGGTCTGAGTGGCATGGAATTTGGTTGCCCTCAAGTAAGGTGTTAGTAAACACCTTAATTACCAAATAATGATAACTCAGTTGACGTATGTGAGCTGAACAGATAAGGGTGAGAGCATGTGTTTGATCCTCCCTAATACCATCTTTGAGAGGAATTTAAAGCTTTAATCCTGACCTGCTCCGAACAAAATTGTCTCATGTTGAAGATGCATGTGGTTTATCCAAAAAAAAAAGAAAAAAGTAAACACTCTAATTACCCAAATATATATTAGAAATAATAAAAAGCATATGGGCCGCGTGGGCTGTTAGTTCCAATTGAATTATAAATCTCTTTTGTTCAAGTATTTTGCAATTCCTTCAACATTGGAAGAAGTTAACCCCATGATAGCAGATTTTGACACTATGTTAGATAATTTATAGTCTAACTTGTTGCAAGCTTTGAATAAAATGCGAACTCGAGCAAATAAGCATAGAAGGCATGTGAATTTTCAAGTGAGACAATGAGTTTACATCAAAATCTTACCTTACAGACTAAGATCACATGCTAGGAAGGAAAATGAGATATTGAGTTCTCAATTCTATGGCCCATGCCATGTTATAGAGAAAATTGGTGTAATAGCTTATCAATTGAGTTGCCTGTCCGCCGTAAGGTATTGAGTACATATTCCCTTGACATTGAAGATATGCTCCACATAAGGGTGGTCGTCATGGGTGGATAAATTTATTTTTCTTTTTTCTTTCCATGTCCGTATCCGATCTTCCAAAAACAATATTGTATTTAAATATTGCATAGTACTCGTATGTGTGTGTCATGCATTATAATGTGTGTCAAAGACCTTTGGTTTAGAACGCCTAGTACTGATCCATCAAAATTTTATCGTTTTACTTTCCATGTTTTATTAGTAACTCAGGTTTGCTCCCAATATTTGTGTAGACGCTCCAAGTCCGTCTATGTAAGAAGAGGATTGTGTACTGTCTTTGTCAATTTGAAATTTTGTTAAACCTTTACGAAATGAATTGAGGATTAATGTGACTATAAAGTACAATGACTGTTTGATTCATATAATCGCCAACCTATTGACATAAGGTTTAGCTGTTATTGTGTGTTTGATTAGTAACAAAGAAATTAGAAACATGATATACGATAGCAGCTGAGTTTTATTAAGTTGTAATATATAATAGAAAATAATAAATGTATTTTTACTTAACTGTTTAAATTTTTGAATTAAATTATTTATTTACATAGAAAAAAAAAGTTTTTGATGTGGTAGACCAATAAATTGTCCACACTTCAATCCTATAATATTTTTGGCACAAGAAGTGTATTAAAATATAATATAATATAAAATGATAATTAAATGCATCGTACCTAACAATTTAAATTTTTGGGTTAAAATGATTCTATTGATTACCTATCATCTTTGATCAGCTCGTGATATCTACGTCTTTGGAATTGACTGGTTTTGTTGATTATTTTGAAGGTGTTAAGTAACAAAAAGTTCAAGAGTGCAACTCATCGAGTTGTGAGAACAGGAGGACGAAGCCGATACTCTTATGGGTTCTTCCGTAACGTAACTGGAGACAAGTGGGTTGAACCATTGCCACAGTTCACAAAAGAGATTGGGGAGCCACCCAATTATAAAGGATTTCTATATAAGGAGTATCAGCAACTGAGAATAATGAATGTGACCCATCCACCTTCTAGACCTGAGGATGTGATTAACCTTACTCATTTTGCAATTGATACCTAGAGTCTTGTGTGGACTCAATAAAAATATTCTTGCACTGTTTAAATTTCGTATTACGGGTTGTTTGTGAACATTATTATGGTTTCTTGTTGCTCCCATGTTATGTAACATCAAGAAATAAGCATGTGGAATTTGGAATTAGCTTCAGAAAAATTCAGTTAGTAAGGTACGCATGTATGCTTGTTTTTTAAGTAAGAAATTTCCTTGTTCTCTTCAACTTGATTCTCAGGTGATATATTCAAAAGCATGCATCTTGATTTTGAACATATTATTATATAATTGAGGTATGGTTCGTAGTTGAGTAAAAATCTGGAATCCGTTGCATCATCATTTCCATCCCGTATGACTCAAAGATATGCTCATGAGAATTCATTTCGGAATCAAGAGACTTAAACTAAATCTTTCAAAAAAAAAAAAAGAGACTTAAACTAAAACTCTAATTAATTGGGTGAAATGTATGATAATCTTTTTTTTTTTTTCAAAGAATGTTTAGTGTGAGTGACGTTGTCTGTTTTAAAAGTTAAGGTAATGTACGAAATTCAACAAACGCTTATAAGTATTTTTTTTTTTTTATCAATTACTATGCATTACGTAGTAAACACCTTTTTTGGTCCCTGACAATATCTACAAATCTTTTTTAATTCCTGACAATAAAAAAGGACCAAATTGGTCCCTAAAAGTATGAAAAAAGGGCCACGTTAGTGACGGAGGAGTTGACATAAGGATTAACGTGGCCCTTTTTTCATAATTTTAGGGACCAATTTAGTCCTTTTTTATTGCCGGGGACTAAAAAGGATTTCGTAGATATTGCCAAGGACCAAAAAGGGTGTTTACTCTTTAATTAAAATAGACTAATTGTTATAAAAAAAAAAATAGACTAATACAATTTTTTTTAAACATATTAATGTTGGGTGTTGGTAGAAATTTTTCAAAAGAAAGAGTATCGTTCTTAGGGACAGGTTGAATTATTTGTCTTTTTATTTTTCTGAATTAAAAATTCTGAAATTGGAACTTAATTGGTTTTAGAACAAGAAGTTTTTTTTTTTTGTATAATTTTTATCATGCATTAAAACTTATCTAAAAGTAGAGAATCGATTTATCAATATAAAAAGGCTTCTGGGTATATCTCAAAATCATGGATGACAAAAATATTTGCAAACTGCAACTTCGTACAGTGCTACAGCGAGTTTATCTCAATTTTTGAAGTACTACGGCAAGTTTAGTTGAAACTTCCGAGAATCAACATTAAGGTTCAAGAAGATCTTTTCCCAAAGTTTCTTGAAACTTTATAGAAAATTTATCAGAAATCACCCTTGATTATCCCTAATCAAGAGGTTCATTTAATACTTAACAAAAATGCATTTTCCAATTTATTTTTGTTCTTCATTCCCATGAATTACTCGAGTTTTAAAAGTGAAAGAATTAAACGAATGAGATAAACGACAGTAACAATGCACATCAGAAAATATTCATCCAATCATTTGGACAACCCAGAAAAGAAAGGACTTAGAAACCTATATTCAGAAATATTGCAAATCTAAAAAGTAAAGAAACATGCATTACAAATATTCAGTAAAGAAAACTCAAAGTAAAAGTTTACAAACCGGTTCTTCAAGAATCAAAGTTCCTAAAGTAGAGCTAGGAAGAAAACTTACAGAAGTATGAAAACAATAGCTCTCATGCAAATCCGTGATTCCTTTCCTTGAAGGTGCGTTGTTAATGCACTTCGAGTGCAAGAATTGAAGAACAAGCATTCAGCTTTCAAGGGATTTCTCAACACTCAGATTCAAAGAAAAAGATTACAAAAGATTCAAGACGTAAAATTGAAAACTAAAAAAAACGAAAGTTCTCGCCCCGTGGCCCTAATGACTCAGACTCCTATTTAGCTAGAAACTAAAGAGCTCCAAGAAATTGCATTGATGTCCATCCATATTTTTGTCCATCCAATGGTTCAGATTTGATCTCACTTTCAAAGAGTTGATCATATGGCTCTCTAACTGCAGTAAAAATAGTAAAAGAGAATAGTAAATCATCAAATTATCTCTTTCTCTCTCTTTTACCTTATTGGGTTGATTGGTACTCATTTGGCCCATTACCATGCACTTATATCCAGCCTTTAACTCAAATATTGTAAAAACAAAGCCATTAAAATAATCATAATTTATAGCTAACAAAATACCCCAAACTTAGTTAATTGCTCGCCCTCAAGTAATCAGACAAACTTCACTCATAACTTAGCCTGTTAGCTAAAAAAATAATAAATAGTTACATATCAACACAAATTTAATTTCAATAACTCAGTTACATTAATCAACCATCTATGCAAAACATCACACTTCTTAAAGCATTAACCAGGCTTAATGTCAACCAATTCCTACATCAAATTAATCATCCAACTCTAGTCAATCAACAATTACATAAGCATTTAATCAAAAAATTCATGCTTATTCAAACAGTTGCAACCCTTGACTTAACTTGATTCAAATGACATTCCATTGAATTCCTTTCCAGATATATTCAATCAATCACACTCTTCTCTTTTATAAGGAAGTTCACTCATTATCATCATGCATGAATGCTTCCAATCTACACTACCATTTAGAAACTTGAAGTCCAATATGCTACCTCCATCAAAGGGTCTTTAAGGCTTGTAACGAGGCAGGGCTAGGATCTTTGTTTTTCTGGTCACTTGGCTAATTAAGCTAACCCTTTAGTATCTAACTAATCCTCATTAGCTTTTTCTGATTTTTGCCTAAACAAGACAAAGGGAAATTAGTGACTTTCTTCTCCCTTTTTTATAACTTCTTTCTCTTTTCTTTTTTATTATTATTGAGCACCTTCACAAATTCTTTTTTTTTTTTTTTTTTACTTTAGCCTCTCCCTTCTTCTTTTTTACAACAAGCTCAGAGATCTCCCTTTTTTTTACAGAGAACTCCTTTTATAAATCACTTGTTCCCCTTTTTCTTCGATTTTTTTTACCTCCTGATCCTCTTTTCTTTTTCTTTCCCTTCTCTTTTTTACAACCAATTTCCCTTTGCCTTATTTAGCTTACTGTATTTCTAAGCTAATGAGAATTAACTAAATACTAAGATAGCCATATAGGGTGGACAAGGAATTTGGCTCATAATATCAGGGTACATGATCAGAAAAGAAAGGTTTCAGGCTCAAATATAGGGACCAAGGGATATAATTGAAGGGTGAGGTTTTTGGCTCTAGGCTGCATATTCAGAAACAATGCCCCAATCACACAGAAATAGCATATTAGTCATCCAAATAGAGTGCAGCATTCAAAACACCAATACACAATGACCACTCACAAAGGAATATAGTGTTTAGGTTCAAATATCTCACATGGGTTGTTAATCCAGTGGTTTATTAGTGAATCAGCAAATCAGGGATCACAAAAAAAAATTTTATGGCATGTAATTTGATTTTCAGCTTATATAAATACTGATCAACTAAGTTAGATCCCTAATTGATTAGGAATTCATCCAATCAAATCTGGCTATACTTAAGCAATGATAATGTTAAACATATCAGGTTATAAATCATTTCCAAGTTACCACTCAGCTAATCAAGCATTCAAAACGGAGTGAATTTTTATCATCATTTTTTTTAGCACCAATCAGCAAAAAATTGGTAACAGCAATTAATCACCCCAAACTTAAAATTAAGCTGGGTCCTCACAACAAATAAAACAGGTCATGCATAATCTTAGATAAAATTAACTAAAATATGAATCAGTGACCGTGAGAAGGTCAGCAGAAAGAAGGGAAGACTCAATCATCAGAGAAGGAGTCCTCCTTTTGGTGCCATTGTACTGCAATATGAATCAGTGAGCAATTCGAAAGAAAAGTGGTCTGTTAATAAATAAAGGCAACTCAGAAATATCAAAAAGAATCAGCAATAAAATAAATAAATAAAATAAAGCAAATAAATTATTATCAACCGAGGAACAAACACCTATAAATGACAGCAATTTAATAAAAAAATCATATTCAGAAAATTAGACATGCCACTCATGTAAGCTAAAAAAAATATTTAGTTTGAGATGAAACATTTCACAGGCACATGCAAAATTGCAAAATCAAGGAGTACCTACATTTCTTGGCAATATTGTTGTTTTCATCTCTCACAACATGTCAGGTAAAGCTAAGATAGAGTTGAGAGTATACATAACAAGGACAAGAAAAATAGGCTATAACTCAAAGCAAAAATGCAAAAGTCGTTTAAGTGAAAGGAAAAGAAAAGAAAAGAAATAAAAATATAATTATAAAATTAAAATTAAAATTCCTCATATGAAAT